CAAATCTCTCACCTCTTGTTTGTAGATGATATAATTCTGGTTGCTAAGGCTACTCTCAACCAAACTGCTATCATTAATAACATTTTGACTACCTTTGGCCAAGCTTTTGGCCTCAAGGTTAACCATGAAAAATCTACTTTGTTTTTCTCTAAGAATACTAATCATAATACTAGGCAACAAATTAGTGAGATTTTGGGTATTCAACCCTCTAGTCAAATTGGTAAATATTTAGGAATTCTCATAAATCACGTTAGACCTCTAAAAATTAGTTCTCTTTTTTGGTTGACAAAGATAGAAAAAAGCTGCCACTTTGAAAAGTGTCATCTTATTGGCTAGGACAAAATCTATAAGCACAAGACTGAAAGAGTCTGGACTTTCAGAACCTTCACATGATAAACAAAGCTTATATAATGAAACTGTTTTAAAAAATTTGTACCTCTCTTAATAACTTATAGGTTCAAATTTTAAGCAAAAAACACAAGTTTTCTGTTGGTCAAAACCAGGGTGCTAGAATCAGTAGTAGGGTTTCTCCACTTTGGAAAAGTATATCATCAATTTGACCTCAGTTTTCTAAAGGCATCTTTTGGTATTTAGGGAATGGTTTTTCAGCTAAGTTTTGGACTCATCAGTGGGTCCTAAATACTCCTATTCTATATTTTGTTTCTTTGTACCCTGTTTCTGATTAGGATCTGGACACCTATGTGCTGTTATTTATTGATTAGGGGAATTGGGATAGGAATAAATTAAATTCCATGTTGCCTGCTCATGTCTGTGAGAAAATTGTTCAACTCAAACCTTCCAACCTTTATAGTAATCCAAACTCAGTATCTTGGGCCCTATATAGCAAGGGTTCCTTTTCTGTCAAAACTGCATAACAACTGCTTTCTCAAGCCAATCACCCTCCTTCCCATCATTCTGATTTATTTAAATTGGTCTGGAAGTGGGATGGCCCCCTAAAATAGCTTTCTTTCTTTCTCATAGTAGATTATTCACTAATGTAGATAGGGTTAGGAGGAGTTTGACTGATGTAGCCTCTTGTCCTAGGTGTGATAATGAGAATGAGTCTATTATACATGTGTTGCGGATTGTTACCAAACTAAAAGAGTGTGAGAGTATTTCATTTTTCCTGATCACTGGGCTTGGTTTTTCTTTGTTGGACTGACAGCTTGGATTCATGGAAACCTCTCTACCCCATGTGTTAATAGATTCTTTAATTGGCAGAAATTGTTTGGTTTATTACTTGGTACTTGTGGAAAGATAGGAATGAGTTTATTTTCAATGCATGCTCTGTCTAAGCTTTTATTCTAACTCGAAAGATTATTTGTAATGCTGAGTTTTTTTACTTCTTCTATAGGAACAAACAACTCTCTCTTCCCAGTTTACCTTTGGATCAGTCTAGGATTCGTTGGATTCCTCCTTCTAGGAATCAGCTAAAGATAAACATTGATAGGGCTGCTTGTGCTATCCTGAAAGCTATTGCTTATTGAGGCCTTATTAAAGATTGGAAGGAAAATTTTGTGGCAGGTTTCTATTATTCTCTGCTCTCTTGCTCTCCTTTGAAAGCTGAGTTGTGGGGAATTTTCCAGGATATTCGTTTGTTTCTTCAATTTTCTAATCAGCCTACTGTTTGGACTTAATCTAATTCCCAGGAGACTATAGAATGTATTCAATCCAAGTCTCATTTTTGTATCACATTATCTGTAAAATTAGGGATGGTATTAAATTTGTTAGCGCTGTTAGATTGATTCACACCCTTAGGGAAGCTAACTATTATGCAAATAGGTTAGCCAAAATTGGCTTGGAATCCTTGTCCCCTTTTGTTAGATTGGATCAGGTTCCAAACCTGCTTCCCTTCTTGGTTTTGGACCAATGTGGGTCCTGGTTCCCTAGGTGTTCTCCTTAGTTTAGTTTTTCTTTTAGACTTTTAGTCTCCTTTCTTAGCCAAAAAAAAAAAAAGATAAAAAATCTTAAGTTGTCCAAAATAAATAAATAACTCCACTATCATAAATAAATAAGTGCACAAAGCATGTTTTTAACTAGCCAATCAACTCCAACAATAAAATTAAATTGAAAATCAAAAAGATAAAAATATATAAGAAACAAAGTTACTATGCTAACATTATTAATCTTATCAGATATCTCATTTCAAAAATTTAAGTTTTCAAAATGAAAAATCATAAATAATGAAAATATTGTCAAATATTCTATTGAAACTATTTGTCGCAACTGGGCGGTCGCAACGGTACGGCAAAAAACGTTTTCAAAATATCAGAGGAGTCACTATCAAAGTTTATTTTAAGAAAAACCTTGGAAAAACTTAAATATAATACGATCTTTGAAACCAAAAATGAGTTCGTGAGTCATTTACCTGTAAGGAAGGTATAACACCCTACAACGTCCGTTTAAAAATGGTTACCTTAAATGAATTGTGCAAATTTATTTAAATTCTGAAAAATATTTATTTAATCCCTAAACATTAATTATTTTTATTTTAGAAGAAGAAATATTATTTATTGAGATATTATTTAGGTTATTTTAAAAATTATTTTGACTTGACGGGTCTGGTTCCCGCTCCTACGTATCCCTAGGTGTAATGGGGAACTCAAAGCCACGTAGTTCTATCTAAAAATTATGAAATTAGTTGATTAAAATTAGGTTTAGTAAAAGAAAATTTATTTTGAAATTAAAATTATTTTATAAAATTATAATGTTTAGAATACAAGATAACGTGGTTATACATGTAACTACGAGAAACAATACAGAAAGTGAAGGAAGATCACACAACTATACTGCAAATCGTTAAAAAATATTTTAATCGTAAATGAAGTATTTAAATTTTAATTTTGATTATGATTAATGTTGAAAGAGAATTTAAGATAGCGTAAGCTATACATTAATCTCTTATAATTTTTTGACAACCGAAAGTAATGTAAATCACACAACGGTATTGCAAAAGTTTGTATAATAAAATAAAAAGTGGAGAAATAATTGATTATTTAATTTATCAAAATTAGAAATACAATTCAAGAAATTTTAAAATATAAAATTAATTTCATTTTAATAAAAAATAATTTTATTTGAACTTATTTAATAAAAACATTAAAAAATTTATTTGATAGATTTATATTATATAAAACCTAAGGTAACGTTGGTACACATAGATTTTGACAATTTATAATACATAAAGGTAGAGTCGCTACACATTAGCATTATAAATTATTTCTTAATAAAATAATTTATATTTAAATTAGTTGATTGATTCATAAATTAGTATTTAGAAGAGAATTATATCTTATATTATTATTAAAGTGGTTAACTAATTAATTAATGACAATATATGATAAATTAATGTTGCATAAAGCCTAGGTAACGTAGGTACATATAGGCTTTATCAATTTATAATACATGACGATAGAAAAGTTATACGTTAGTATTATAGATTGTTACAATTATATTATTATTTATTAATTAATTATTAAAAAAATAAGTAATTTAGTATTCACAATATAAGATAAAGTAATCATAAATATAAAATTAAATCACATTAATATTCTACAAATATACAATAAATAAATAAATAAAAAGATAACAATCCTAAAAAGTAGAAAAAGTCAACATGAAAATTAAGATATAAATAATTAAATATAAAAAAAAGAAATAATTTATTGTTAATGTTAAAATGAGATAAAAAAATAAATCAAATATAATATTGTAAAGTAAATGGTGTCAAGAGATTTTAAATAAAAATAAAATAAAATAAAATAATTTAAACTAGGCTAATATAAAAAAATAAAAATAAATAATAAGAACTTATTCATTAAATAAATTAATAATTATCATAATAATAAATAATAATGATGATGAATAAATAAATAAAACTAAATAAGAAATTGTATGTTGAACTAAATAATAAAAAAAGTAAAAATAATAATAAATGAAAAAATTCGGACAAAAAAATAAAAAAAATAAATAAAATGGTAAAATGGTCCCAAATTTAAAATTATCAGATTTGAAAGGGAAAGATTTTTGGGTTAGGGGTGTGCTTTTCTTCAAGAAAAATAAAAAAAAAATATGAAAGGGTGGAGATGAGGTTAATGGAAGTCATAGTTTTGAGTAGTGAAGGTTAGTGTGAGAAAAAGGAAGAGGAATGAGAAAAGGTAGGGAAAGAGTTTTTTTTTTTTTTTTATGGTGAGTTTTGTGTTTGTGGATGATGATAGATGGAGGAATGGGTGGAGAGGTGGTGAGACATGGATGTTTGAAGTGGTGGTTTAAAACTTTTTTTGCCATTTGGAATTGATTTGATATAAGAAATGTTTATTCAAAATATAAATATGTATGAAGAAGAAAAATGTATAAAATACGTGATAAAACTTACTTGATGTTCTTGAAATTTTTTACTTGCCTTTTGTTCTTCCTCCTTTCCACTAACCTTCCTTTCTCTATATTTTTCTCTTTTTTTTTTCTTTAAGTTTAAAAATGCTTCCTCTCAAAATTTTTAGCCTCTTTTCATGCCCTTTTTACTCTATGGTTCTTTTTTGCTTTTATTGCTAGGATTTTCACAAAGGACCAAGAATTCTGAATTTTTCTTTTTTTATGTATAAAGTAGCATTGGTTTAAGAATTTGATTATTTGTTATATTCTATTTTTCTTTTATAAATTAATACTGAATTTTTCCTATTTTATTAAGACAAATTTTTGTTTTTTCTTTAAAACCCTTTGATTCCATTCTCCTTTTGTAATATTGAAATTCAAATTTTTTTAAAATCAAAAATTTTTAAATCAAAATTTTAGTGTTCACATATATTAATAATATAAATATTTTAAATAAAAATAACAATAAACATAAATCACCAGTTGCATAACTTTATTATTTTCTAATTTTACACCGCACTTGTCATCAAGTATTGGGGCCCCACTTTACCTAGTGCTCTCAGATATTTGTGAAGTTCTCGTAACCTGATTAAACACCTATATAGTGTTGCTAGAGGTCTTATTATTCTAACTGTAAGAGTTACAACAACTATTTTCTTCCTTGTTCCCATAGTTAGTTATAGCTACATGCAATGGTGACTGCAATGGTGTCACCACTTCTAATTCTCTGTCTTACACTTCCTGTGTTTACATTATTCTTCTTCCAATACCGCAAAACCTTCAGGAACCCACCTCGTCCACCTGGTCCTAGAGGCCTTCCCATAATAGGGAACCTTCATCAACTCAATAACTCTTTTCTTTATCTACAACTATGGCAACTCTCAAAGAAATATGGGCCTTTATTTTCCCTTCAATTAGGTTTAAGGCCAGCAATAGTTGTTTCCTCACCTAAAATAGCCGAAAAGGTATTCAAAGTCCATGACCTTCAGTTTTCTGGACGACCTAAATTATTTGGCCAACAAAAATTGTCCTACAATGGATTAGAGATGATATTTTCTCCATATGGTGACTTATGGAGAGAAATTAGAAAAATTTGTCTTGTTCATGTCCTTAGCTCAAGGCGTGTTTCTTATTTTTCTTCAATAAGACATTTTGAGGTCAAGCATATGATAAAAAAAATATCTAGGCATGCCTCATCTTCAAATGTTATCAATTTGAATGAAGTGTTGATGTCTTTTGCTAGCACTGTTATATGTAGAATTGCCTTTGGGAGAAGGTATGAAGATGAAGGAGCTGAAAAGAGTAGGTTCCATGCATTGCTTAATGAGTGTCAAGCCATGATGGGTACGTTGTTTGTTTCGGATTATATTCCTTTCTCAGGTTGGATTGATAAACTCAGGGGGTTGCATACACGTCTTCAACGGAATTTCAATGAGTTAGATAATTTCTACCAAGAAGTCATTGATGAACACATGGATCCCAATAGAAAGAGGCCAGAGCAAGAGGACATAATAGATGTTTTACTTCAATTGAAGCAGCAGCGTGCATTTTCCATAGATCTCACAATTGATCACATCAAAGGAGTTTTCATGGTTTGGTGTTCTTTTCTTTTAACTTATCTATTTCAATAACATGAATGTTATTTTTCAACCTTGAGAAAAATTAATTTGCTACATTTGTGTAATATTTTTTTATTAAAAATTAAAGTATTATATTAAATTTTGTAATTTTAATAAAAATTTATTACATATAACTTCGTATTATATACACTAGTTTACATGTTAAAAAAATAAATCACTCTTGTATCAATATTTTTTTAACAGATTATAAGTTTGAGTGGAAAGATTTTTAAATATTGCGTTAGGTACATCTGTAGAAAATAAATTTTATTTCTTCTAAGAGATTATAAAAAATAGTTTTTTTCATTTTGTAGGAGTTCATTAAAATTCATATATATTTTCATATTAAAAACCTCAACAATTAATGATCTTAAGTAGTTCTATTGTATAAACAACAAATAATAACGACAGAAAACAAAACAACAAATAAAAGAAACATTTTTTGTTTTCAATGTTTTGTTGTACACAAAATTTTCGATCTTAAAATAGATGTTTAGGTAGAAGTTAGCCAATATATAGAAACACCTGAATTTGACAAGTGGACCAAACAGAAGGCCAATTCGTACTATGCCAGTATCAATCCTCACTCTGACAAGTGTTGCAGTTCAATTTTTTGTTATAGTGTTTTACCGCATTTTTTGAGTTGTGTTTAAGGATAAAGAATAAAAAAATTATATAATAATTTTTATTAAAAATCACACCATATTATAAAATTTAATTCATTAATAATATTAAATATTATAAATTCTAATAAAAATGTTATTATTATATTTTATAGTATACTTGAAGGTTCTTTACACAAAGTTTTCACGAGAGCTAATAGATGTTACGCATTGATATTTGAATACTGAAAATCGACGAGCCACAATTAATTTATTGCAAATGGGGGAAAAAAACTAGCTTCTGACATTGACAATTCGAATTTAAAAGATTTTATAAAAATTTATTTTTCAACCAATTATCAATTGCTGATTTTTTATTTTTATTTTTTGTAGAACATGCTTGTAGCAGCAACAGATACAACTGCAGCGACAACAGTTTGGGCTATGACTGCACTAATGAAAAACCCAAGAGTAATGAAAAAAGTTCAAGAAGAAATTAGAAACTTGGGAGGTGAAAAAGACTTCTTAGATGAAGTTGATATTCAAAAGTTTCCCTATTTTAGGGCTGTGATAAAAGAAACACTGAGATTGCATCTACCAGCACCACTACTTGTGCAAAGAGAAACAAATGAAAAATGTGTCATAGATGGTTATGAAATTCCAGCTAAGACCATAGTGTATGTGAATGCTTGGGCTATACACAGAGACCCTGAGGCTTGGAAAGACCCAGAAGAGTTTTGCCCTGAGAGATTCTTAGACTCTACTATAGATTTTCGTGGACAAGATTTTGAGTATATTCCATTTGGTGCTGGTCGTAGAATTTGCCCTGGTATGCCTATGGCAATTGCATCATTGGATCTTATTCTTGCCAATCTTCTTAACTCATTTGATTGGGAATTCCCAGCTGGAATTAAAAAAGAAGACATCGATACTGAAGTGCTGCCAGGACTTACCCAGCACAAAAAGAATCCACTTTGTGTTTTGGCTAAGACTCGAATTTCAAATGTGATTTAGTAGTAGTGATAATTTCGTAAGCAAAGTAATATTGTTTGTACCATGACAATTAGCAAAAGGTACGTAAATAAGGGCATGTTGATGTTATGAGATTGTTTAGCTTCCTTCTTTTGGTGGAATGCATTCTCCCTTTCCTTGTTTTCTTTTCCTTTCCTTATTTTTTTTTTCCTCCAATAAAATAAACATTTGAAAGAACACTGTTAAATTTACTTCAATAATACACTTGTGGGCCTTATCATCATTTCTAAATCAATCCAATCTCTATATCCGTTTCTGGGAAACAAACAAAACGTAACATCTTTTGCATATCATGCCTTTCCCCAGAAAAAATTAAAGGTTACAAATAACAAAAGAATTTAAAAACAAAAACATGAAAATATTAGTGTACATGCATAATTATAAAATATCTTACTAATTCATGCATTATTATTAAGATTTTTTTTTTAAATATCTTTCTTGACAGTTTTTTTTCAATATCTTCCTTAATAGTTACTTAAAAATAATAAATCCAATGATAACATGTCACTCGAGCTTACCAAAAATGAAAGTGACAAACTACTTAATTAAGTAGAGAGGAGTGACAAAAATATATTATTTTAACACGTGCTTTTAATTTATTTTTAATCAATAAATAAAATTTATTAAAAAATCTATAAAACATAAAAAAGATTACATGTGAGAAAGAGTAAGATTAACATAAATTTTAGAGTGCAAAAAATAATAAATCTTATTTTTGTTTATTCTCATATTTTCCTGAAATTAACTGACGATATCCATTACTTAACGGAACTAAATTCATGGAAACGCCATGAATCATAATTAGATATAAAGGAAATTAGTTTTAGAAATGATAAATTGATGAGATACAGCACACGCAATAAATGAAAGAATGGAGCACGGAAAGATATTATGCTATTGATTCATTAAATTTATATAGCCCTAGTTAATTTTATTTCTAACAAAAATTTAAAATTATTTTAAGAAATAAATATAGTTTACAAAAATTAAATTTTTAAAATCAATTTATCTATGAAAACTAATAAAAACTTAATTTTAAAGAAATTCCAATACATTTTTTAAAAGGAATTTTTTACATTAATTTTTAAAATATTTTTATTTTATTTTTATGCGATAAATAAATAAAAATAAAATAAGAGACAAAATAAATAAAAGTAATTATAAAAGCTTCATGTTAACTCAACAATTGAATTCAAATTTTTATGTATCTTTTCATACAAGGGAACTTCATAGTCACGTAAATTTTAAAATGTGACTTGATTGATTTTTAAATTAAAAATAAAATAAATTTATTAACAAATTTTAGGACATCCAAATTATCATAATTCAAATGTCAATGGTTAGATTTTATAAAAAAAAATTGCATTAGTTAACTCATTTTATGTGAAATAATTTAAAATAAATTTAAGCTACCAAATTATCATAGTTCAAGTCTTTCTTAATTTATTAAAAATAAGATTAACACGGTGCCTTACTTGAATTAACCCCTTTTATTCATAAAATAAAATATTTATTAAAAAATGATAAAAAAAATCAAGATCATAAAATTATCACAATTCAAATACTTTTAATTTAAAAAATAAGATAAATAAGACTTTTTTTTTCCTAAATTAACCTTTTTATGTGAAATAATTCAGAAAAATGAATACATAGACTTTGCAAAATCCATTTTCACTTTTATGAAGGAACATATTAACATAAATAAAAAATAAAAATGGATGTAAATAAAAATTTAAAAATAAACATGATTTACATGATACATAGTAACAATAACAATAGTAAAAAAAATAATAAAATTAAAATAAATACACAATAAAATTCACACGACACTTTTAACAATTAACAGTGTTATAAATGTAATACTAAAAATAGAAATGATAACTTATAGACATAAAATAATAAAAAAAATCATAAATAGAAGGTGAACATAGACACATTCTCCCCCAACTTCATTATCTATGATGTTTCTAGTGACAAGCTATATATATATATATATATATATATATATATATATATATATATATATATATCATCCAAAGAAAATAAGATATACAACGTCTTTCTTCCTCAATAATTCCTTGATCCCTGTAGCCATAGATCACAATGCTGTTACCATTCGTTCTGTGTCTTATTCTCCCACCCTTGATTTTCTTCTTCATCATCATCGAAAACCGCCGAACCTTCAAGAACCCACCCCTTCCACCTGGTCCTAAAGGCCTTCCAATACTAGGAAATCTACATCAATTGGATAACTCTACCCTTTACTTGCAGCTATTGAAACTGTCAAAGAAATATGGTCCTCTGTTTTCCCTTCAACTTGGTCTAAGGCAAGCTATTGTTGTTTCCTCACCTAAATTAGCCAAAGAGGTACTTAAAAAACATGACCTTGTGTTTTGTGACAGACCTAAATTACTTGCCCAACAAAAATTGTCCTATAATGGGTTAGAGATTATATTTTCCCCATACAATGATTATTGGAGAGAAATTAGAAAAATTTGTGTTGTTCATATCTTTAGCTCCAAGCGTGTCTCTAACTTCTCTTCCATAAGAAAGTCTGAGGTGAAGCAAGTGATTGAAAAGATATCTAAGCATGCTTCTTCTTCAGTTGTTACAAACTTGAGTAAGTTGATGATGTCTCTCTCAAGCTCTATAGTATGTAGAATTGCTTTTGGGAGAAGGTACGAGGATGAAGGAAGTGAAACGACTAGGTTTCATGGGTTGCTCAATGAGTTTCAAGCCATGATTGCTACCTTCTTTATTTCTGATTATATTCCATTCACCAGTTGGATTGATAAATTAAAAGGATTACACATACGTCTCGAACGAATTTTCAAGGAGTTTGATAAGATTTACCAAGAGGTCATCGAGGAACACATGGATCCAAATAGACAGCACAAGGAGGAACAAGATATAGTTGATGTCTTGCTTCAAGTAAAGAAAGAGGGTTCGCTTTCAATTGATCTCACCTATGATCACATCAAAGGGGTCCTCATGGTAGGGTGTCTAATACCTATTTTCATTCCTTTAATTGTTTATTCTTTTGTGAACATTTTCATTTTCTTTATTGCAATATATACTTCCGCAGCTGATTTTGTGCAAAAGTAATAGTATATCTTTTGTTGCAAAGAGAAACTGTCATAATAACATTTTAAATCTGTTATTGTTTAAAAGTAATATTTCCAATCTCTAATGCATATAAACGCTAAATTTTGGGGAGATAAAGGGAAGATGTGTGATGAATCTGTTAGCAAGGAACACATGGCTAAGTTTTTTAATTTACGAAAAGAAAAGCAAATTAAAAAATTTGCCAACTAAAAAAGAATATGAGCTTTTCGAAAAAAAAAGAAGTGAGATGGGTTTAATTTCTAACATGTTCTAAAAAAATTCTAATAAATATTAATACTTATTTTGTACTTTCTTTGTAGGACATGTTTGTGGCAGCAACAGATACCACGGCAGCGACATCAGTTTGGGCTATGACTGCCCTAATAAAAAACCCGAGAGTAATGAAGAAAGTACAAGAAGAAATTAGAAGCATGGGGGGTCAAAAAGATTTGTTAGATGAAGATGACATTAAAAAGTGTCCCTACTTCAAGGCAATGATAAAAGAGACATTAAGATTGCACCCACCAGGTCCACTACTGGTCCCAAGAGAAGCAAATAAAGAATGCATTATAGATGGCTACCGAATTCCTGCCAAGACTATTGTTTATGTAAATGCTGGAAGTATTCATAGGGACCCTGAAGCTTGGAAAAACCCCGAAGAGTTTTATCCTGAAAGATTCTTAGACAGTGCTATAGATTTTCATGGGCAAGATTTTGAGCTAATTCCTTTTGGAGCAGGTCGTAGAATTTGTCCTGGTTTGCCTATGGCAATTGCCACATTGGAACTGATTCTTGCTAATCTTCTTCATTCCTTTGATTGGGAATTGCCAAAAGGAATGGTAAAGGAAGATATTGACACTGAAATGTCGCTAGGAATTACCCACCACAAGAAAAATCATCTTTGCCTTTGTGCCAAGACCAGACCTATGTGTAACTAAATAACAATTGTTACCGACACATTGCGTCTAAGGCTAAATTTCATCTAATAAGTGAATATGTGGTAGATATTGTTTTTATCACATAGACCTGTATTATCTTTTAGTCGATTGAGAAATAAAGGGAAATTATATATTTTTCTTTCTCATCTCATGAATTGTAAAATTAGTGGAAAAAATACCTGAATTTTCATTTTATTTTATTTTAATGATAAATAATTTTTAAAATGTATGATAAATAAAAAATAATAAGTATTAAGAAAAATTATTATTGATTTTTTTATTCTTATTAAATTTTACACTACCTTGAGATTTAGTACACATTTTCTCTCTACAAAAGTATCTCTTTTGACAATGTTTAGCTTTTATTATAACTAACAAACAATTTTTAAAGAATGATGTAGTTTTGCGTTTCCTAATACAATAAGATGCGTCAAAATAAGAAAAATTTCTAACAAATTAAAATAACTTCTATATTATAAATGAAATTCTATTGTTTAAAAAATAAAATATTTTATTATTATTTTCCATAATTGTTACATGCATATTATAAAATTAAAATTGACTGAGAAAAAGATGTGAATTACAATCTTTTTTATTATAATAATTTTACTTTTTACCTATACTTTTGTTAATTTTTTTAAAATTATAGAAATTAAACTTATTATTTAACTTTACTTTATTACCTTATATAAGTTTTTTTATTTTTTATGAAAGTCTATTCGACATTTATAAAAATTCTCTCAATGCTTTTCTATTTTTTAAAGTTTAAAATTTAATTTTAAAAGTCTCATCTCTAAAATTTACAGTTATTAATATATATTAATTATTTATATTTAATTAAAAATTAGTTTAACACTACACAATAAAAGTGTTATTTTAAAAAATTTTAATTTTATTGAATATTTATCTTTTAGATGGATATTATTTTTAGTTATACAATTAAGTTAAAATAAATTTTTTTAAAATTTATTGTTAAATTTAATTTTATTATACATATGTATATAATTATTTTTTAAATATAAAATTTTAATTTTAATTATTAAATTATATGTATATTTATTTTAAATAAAATATTTATGTATTATATGCGCTGTTAAACTAATTTATTAATAATTCTTTGTTTTATTTTATTTTTTATTTTATTTAGAAGTTAAAATAAATATTTAAAAGTTACTAATAATTGCACACTAGTTATAATTTTAGCAGTGGGACTTTTAAAGAATATGGCAACAAGGTTGCAACCTCACGGCAAAAATGTTTTAGAAAAAATATTTTAAAAATAAAAAATATTTTTTAAAAAATTAGAGGAGTTGTCATCAAAATTTATTAAAAAAATTTTAAAAAAACTTTAAAAAATAATTTTTAAACAAAAAATAAGTTTGAAAGTCGTTTACACGTAGAGAAAGTATTAGTACCTTACAATACAATGTTCGTTTAAATAACGGTTACCTTTAATTAATTGTGCAAATTTATTTTAATTTTAAAAAATATTTATTTAACCTCTAAATAATAATTATTGTTATTTTTATTGTAAAAGAAGATAAATTATTTATTAAAATGTTAATTGATATCTTTAGGAAAGAAAAATTATTTTGAAAATAGATTTAACTTGACGGTTCGGTCCCTGCTCGTATGTATTCCTAAGTATAATAGAGAACTTAAAATCACATAGTTCTAACTAGAAATTACAAATTTGGTTGATTAAAATTAAGTTTAGTAAAAGAAAGTTTATTTTGAGATTAAAATAATTTTTATAAGATTAATATTTAGGATACAAGATAACGCAATTATACATGCATTCTATAAACAATATAGAAAATGAAAGGAAATCACACAACTATAGTAGAAATTGTTAAAAATATTTTTATTTATAAATAAAATATTTAAATTTATATTTGAATTATAATTCATGTTTAAAGAAGATTTAAGATGGCATAAACTATATATAAATTTCTTATAATTTATTAGACAATTGAAGGCAAAGTAAATTACATATTGATATTGTAACAAATATATAATAAAATGAAATAATCAAATATTTGGTTATTTAATTTATCAAAATTAGAAATGACTTAACAAAATTTTTAAAAAATAAAATTATTTTTATTTAATGAAAAAAATAAATATATTTTAATTGATTAAAAAGATTAAAACTTTGTTTAATAAATTTATATTGCATAAGACATAAAGTAACGTTAGTACACATAGGTCTTAACAATTTATAATGCATAAAGATAGAGCATTTATACATTAGTATTATAAATTGTTACGTTAATAAAATAATTTTGATTTAAATTAATTTATTAGTAAATTAGTAATTATAAGGAACACATTTTAATTGATTGTGAAGATAATTATCTAATTAATTAAAGACAACATATGATAAATTAATATTATTTAGAGTCTCGGTAAGGTAAGTACACATAAATTTTATCAATTTATAATACATGAGGATAGAGAAGTTATATGTTAATATCATAAATTGATATAATTACATCATTTATTAATTATATAAAAAAGAAACAATTTATTATTCATAATATAAGAGGAAGTAAATAAAAAATATAAAATTAAATCACATCAATATTATATAAATATACAATAAATAAAATAAAAGATAATAATTCTAAAAAGTAAATAATTAACATAATAATTAAGATATAACAAAAAATAAAAATAAAAAATTAGGAAGAATTTATTTTTAGTGTTAGAATAATGAGATAAATTTTACAAATAAAAGTACAATTCAAGTATAATATGGTAAAATAAAAATATTATGTTTAACCAATTTTAATAATTTTTTATTATGATTATTCTAAATTAAATAGAATTAAGAGAGTCAAATTAAGATAAATAAAAAATAAATAAAAATGTTGAATTATTGTAGTGGTCACCGATGGTGGCGGCACACAGTGGCCAGCGCTAGTTGGAAAAAAAAATTGTCGTTTGGATATTCTGGAATTGATTTGATGTATGAAGTATTTCATTTAAAATATAAACATGCAAGAAAAAAGTTTTATAGGATATATGATAAAACTTGGAATTAGTAAAATCAAATCTTTGCTTGACTTTTTTTTTCTTCCATTTTCTTTCTCCTCCACTATTTTTTCTGCAAAATCTTCTCTTTCTAAATTTTTCAGCTCCTTATTTGATGCCTTCTCTTTGTATTTTATATTCTTAGAATTAAAGAAAAAACTAAATTTTTTATTTAAGCTCCATTTTCATGCTCAAAGACTTTGTTTATTTTTTTGTTCAATTCTTGTAATGTTTACATTCCTTTTTTAGAGTCAAATATGAGTTTTCCTAATTTATTAACGTAAATTCTATTTTTCATAAAATATTTTATTTTCATTCCCTTTTTATAAAATAAATTCAGAATTTAAAAAAAATAAAGTTTTTAAAAAAATTTGAGTATTCACATGCAAGCTTTCCTAAAGTTATTTCTTACTACTTATATTTTTTTATAAAAAAAAAAATACTTTTATTCACTCTTAATATATTATTTTAACAGTTTGGTTAAGTACTACGGTTGTCTGTCGGATGTCTCACAAAAAAATAAAAACTTTTTGTTAAGATAATGAAATGTTTAAATTTATATTGAAAATGATGTAATAACACATTCTAGGCAGATGAAAAGGATAGGAGAATGGAGATACAAATGTGAAGCACAAAAATACAAACGAGGAAACACAGTTTGTTCACCCACGTACCTATGTCTCTGTAAAGTGTGGTATGTAGTACAAAGAAGATGAAGAAGATATATAAAGCATAAAAATACATGTGAGAAAGCAACCCACTTTATCTACTTATTTCAAATTAAGGCATGATGGGTATGTTTGTGTGTGGTGTGCATGTGAGAGTGTATTAATTACTTAATGGAAACTTCATTCACACGACTCTAACTTGCTCAAGTGAAGATTGAACATCGACCTCATCATCTCCATTTGCTTCCAAGGATTCTTTATAGGTCATTCCACGATACTTTTGTGAGTGTTCTTCATCAACAAATTCTATGCTTGGGCTAATGAGTTTGTTCAATGAAGGTCCATGAACACCAACCACAGAGATCCTTTGCACTTCATTCTTACCAACAATCACTCGATGGATATGACTCTTGTACTTCCCATTCGTTAAGATCTACAGTTAATTTGAGAGGAGAACAAAATCAGGATAAAGCTACTTTTAGGTAGGGGTGTCTATGGATTAGATTTTCAAAAAATTAATCTAGATCTATTTAAAATCTAATTATATAGATTAAATTATAAACTAATCCATTTTAATTTTTCTAAAATAGATTTAAATTTAGTTTAAAAAGATTTAGTTTAAAATTAATTTTAAACCGTTTTTATATATGGTAAAAATATACTATAACTATTTTTTAATTATTATTAAATTATTATATTAAAAAATATTTAAATTTTATAATAAATAATATAACATTATATATATATATATATTTATTTATTTGTTAAGCATCAACATTTATAAAAAATAAAATATAAATACAAAAAGTACTCTAATATATTACATTAACAATACATGTCCAGAGAATATTTACGTATATTTTAATTTATTAATAATATTTTTTTTTTATATTTTATTAAAGTAATAAATATTTAGATATATTCTACTTTTTATCATCTATCTATCATATAAATTAATTATATGATTTGAATTTTAAATTATTTTATTTTATTTTTTTAATCAGTTCAAAAATAGTTTTAAAATTTAAATTTAGTTTAAAATCAATTTTAAATTTAATTTTTGTTGAAACTAGTTTTAAATTTAGTTTTACGTTGAATTAGTTTTAAATCTAATTTTAAATTTAATTTTTAACGCAAAATTAATTTTTAATATATTTGTGAATTATATTTTTAAGATAAAACTAATTTATTATACAAAATGTTGCATTAAATTAGTGCATTTCACAAAGATTTTAACAATATTTATTAATATATTATATTTTATAGAAGTATATAAAATATTTATTATTTTTTTAACTTATTTTTAATAAACAGTTCATAGTAAAAATTTAAATTAAAATCTATAAAAATAAAAATTAATAATATAAATAATAATAAATTTTTTATAGTATAATATTTTAAAAATTAAAAAAAAACATAAACATAAAAATTACAGTGGTAATTAATTTAAAAATATTTGTTATATTTTAATATCTTTAATTATTTTAAATATTTAATTTTAATTATAAGAATTAAGATTAATAAAAAAATATTAGTGATAAAATATAGTTACAATAAAATTTTGTAAACTAATATAACACTAAAATTTTATAAATAAAGATATAAAGTTGCTTTATACATATGGATTTGGATAACTAAAAAAAACTCTGATTTTAAAAAATAGATTTAGATACTAAACTAGTTATACAAATATAGTTAATAAAAAACTAGTTTAATATGGATGTAGATTTTTAAAACTAATTTGACATTGGTTATGGATTGGATTTATAAAATTGAATTTTTTGAACAACCCAACTTTTAAGCCCCTAAAATATATTTTTGTTTAATATAACTTTTTAAAAAAATATCTAGTAATAAGTTTGTAAATGATATTAATTTGTTTGAAATAATTAAATAATTTTTCTTAAAAATATTATTTTATTATATTGGTGTTTGACTCATTTTATTTTAATTTTTTATTTAAAATAATAAGTTGTGTCAAATAAAATTATATAATTATTCTCTAAAACAAAAACTTCTTTTGCATGAGTTTTTTTATAAGCTAATTTTGAACATTTTCCCTTGTTTCTCTTTCTTTGTTATAGAGCGTATCATCTAACAATACATTGTTTCATAATTTTTAAGTTGTAAATTTTGACTTCAAAAATATAAAATTATCAAAAAATATTTAACTTTACATTTAATTATCTTCTTTTAATTTTAAATTTAAAGTAGAATTTGAGATTTTAAAAAATTTAATTAAATGCTACTTATCATGACTTAATCTCTTTTCATAAATTTTATATATTAAAAGTTTCAAAAAATAATTAAAATTTTAAATTTTAAATAAATTATGTTTATTAATTAAAAAGATCTCATATAAAAAATTGCATTAAACTTACATTGACATTAGGCTAGCCTGCCAAAATTGTTCAACAAAATTGTTTAACATGCAATGGAAAAAAAAACTTGAATAAAAATTAATACCTCAAGATGATCACCAAGCTGAATAAGTATGGCATGATGGGGAATATAAACATTAATCCATTTTCCTTTGTGGGTTAGGATTTGGAGACCACCATCTATTTCTTGCACAAGTGTAATTATAAAGCCAGGGTCAGTGTGTTCAGATAAACCAACAGCTCCTTTGGATTTGGCATTTGGTGGATAAAGGTTCATCGCCATTACATCAAACCCTGATTTCAAGTTAAACGCCTTCTCTATGAAGTGTTCTTCAAACCCTAAGGTTGTAGACATGGCCCTTGCTAATCCACTTACTACCATTCTCATTTCTCTGCCATATTCTTCCAAAATTTTGCTGATGCACCAAATAATTAATCCAAAACAAAATGAAATATATGGAACATATATCACAGTAAATTACCATAAGATATGATTATCAAAAGTGTAATAAACAAGAACAAAAGAAATTTCTACCTCTTGTCATTATTATAAAAATACATAAATGAAATGAATTATATGGAACATCACACGGTAAATTACTATAAGATATGATTATCAACACTCTAATAAGAGAAAAACAAAAGACAGTTCTACCTGTAGTCATTTTTATATAAAATATAAATTAAATAATTAATTCACCAACATCGATAAAAAATAGTTTTATGTTACAATTTTATATTTTTATTCTAAAAACTCTATAATATTAAATAGTTAAATTGATAAGTTATATATTAAATGTATTAATATGTCTACTTATATAAATAATAAGTGAATGTCTCATTCACAAAAATTTTATAATAAATAAGAACATAAAAAATTTTCAAGTAATGCATCTAAAAATAATTTTTTATAATAAAAAATATTAATGATTCTTTCTTGTGAAGAAAAACAGAGATATATAATATTAGATTTATATCAGTGATAGACAAAATTTTCTTATAGAACTTTTTACAACATTATTTTTTTTTATTTCTTTATCATATAACTTATTATTGCACATTTTTCTATCTTTTCTTTCTATCTTTCTCATGATTGTAAGAAATTTTGTATGATTTTGTTCTACAAAAATAATCATACCTGAAACCAGAAGGGTTGGAAGGAAAATAGTGCTGGGGATGCGCAACAACCTTGAGATATTCCCTATTTTCCCCAGCAGACGAGTTTAGTTCCCAACGAATTTTATCTGATGGGCATTTTTTGCTGTAGATACTTCTCTCATCTAACGTTGTTTGGTCAAAGAAGTCAGAAACTCCCTTTAATACACTGTCAAATGTTCTATCTGGGATGGTATGGTTTACCAACTGCATGCATGTGAAGCAATGATCAAATTTATATTTATACATACAGAAAACACTTAAAATATAATTTTAATATTTAAAAATATATTACTTTTAACTCAATCCTTATGATTATTCACACACACACACAATTCCCTAATTAAACAAAAATAATGTGATTATAGTTCCTTAGTATTGAAATTTTGTTTATTTGTGGTCTTCTAAAATTCTATAAAGCATTTTCCTCTAGTCTAAGATGAGTAACAAAGCGCACATTATTTTAGTTAAGTTAGAGACTAAAAAGAATAATAATTTTATAGGAATAAAATAAAAGGATGTACATTTAAGAACCAAAAACATAAATATTAAAGTTTGCATAAAACAATCTAATTATTAATTTATTTGGTTGAGATATTTTTTTTCAACACATTCTTTTGATACGATATTGAAACTTGAAAATATTGTGGGCAATATTTAGGATAAGAATTTTAAAAGAGAAAAGAAGCCATGCATGGGATATCATATAAATAATAGCACACAACAGCACAAGAGGATTACATAAAAGAAGCCATATTCTTGGCATGCTTTGCGGAGGCATTCAAGGGCATGGGATCGATGATCAGAGTTGTTAGAGAAGAGTAGAGAGTAATTAACAGTGGGTATTTCATCATCAGAAGCTAAATAAGGATCTGCCTGGGGAGAGTATAATTGGGATGCAAAAGAACTCATTTCAGCCATTACAGAGATCAAAGAGAGTATATTTGAAACGATGTTTGATATGCATGAACGGTGGTATTCCTTCAACCTATATATAGATGGGGTGGGGGGTGAAGATTACCTACAAATATATCTCATGTTATCAAGTATATTTCATGCGTGGTTTAAAACACTAAACAGTTGGGTAGTTGAAATTCAAATCAAATTATTTATCTGAAATACTCTTCTAATGTTAAAAGTGCAAAGAATAGGAGGAGAAGTATTCTAAGAAGTATTTTGAGTGGTTTGAAGGTGGCAAATGCATAATTTTTTTCATTGTGAATGAGAAGCACGAGTTCTTGTCTTTATAGAGCTTCTCAGTTTTCTCCCTCACATTTTTCACATTATCGATCTTGAGGGGTTGAAGGACGGTGTGTATAGTAAAAATATAAAAAACATATTAAGTTTGTCAAAGAATAACTCCAAAATGCAAGACCACACTAATATTGGCTAATTAAATTTCCCTTTTACAACATCACGGTCTGGAATTTGTTTACTCCACGAAAACATGGTGGGTGATTAAATAAAAGGATGTGTTGAACTTTCAACAACAAATCAAATAATTCATGACGTGACTTTTGGTCAAAGATAGGAATGCAATCCAACTTCGAACACCGATGACCTAGTGTATGTGTTAGAAACATGTTCTAAGGTGAAAGTTATAATTTATAGCATTAAAATATATTTATTTTTCAGGGAATTCAACGCATAACTAAATACATACTAAAATAGAACATAAAAAACAATAATATGATCACAATTAAGTTAATTTTCTCTCCCTTTTCATGCATGGTTAAGTTCATTTACTATTGTGTTTTTTCTTGGTCACGTCCATGTGCATGTGTGTATATATATATATATAAAAGGTTGGTTTGTTCAACATATTTATTAACTAACGGGATATAACACTTTTTTTTATTCTATACAAAAATTATTTTCAAAAATGTAATTTCATTATTTTTATAACATATACATGAACATTTTTCAATAAAAATTATTTTACATAAAATTATTTTTAAGAAAATTATTTTTTTTAAAAATCTATATTTTTTAAGAAAAATATGTTTAAAAACATTTATAAAAGAATATTGTAATCATTTTATAATATTTATTTTAATTCTTTTATAATCATTTATTCTAATTATATTTTTTTTCTAAAAATAAATTTCAATTCCAAAATAATTTAATAAAATTATTATAATATTAAATTTTATTTTTATATACACATAAAAATATTTTAAAGATTTTAAAGATATATGTATGTACGGATATAAGTAAAAATAATTAAATAAAATTTAATTTTAAAAATTATATTAATTTTAATAAATTAAATAAAATTTATTTAAATATAATTTATATTTTATTTTATTGTTTATAAAAAGTGATCTCAAATATTAAAAATAGTAGCTTAATATTATTTCATTTACTATCATAATATTCAATAAATATAAAATAAAATAAATTTTTTTATTAATTTTTTATCATATCCTATTTTTATTCATCTATTTTATCTTATATTTTTTTATTATACATTTTCATCAAAGGGACCCGGAATGTGATTGATGAAAAACCCAGTTGGCATATACAAGACAGCCACCCCATGTGAAACAATAGTGAAGGCAGAAGGCAGAAAACACGCGTTGTTTCTTATGTCCACTCAACTTGAGGCCTTTTGTTGACCAAAAACAATAAATAAATATTAAACTTGGGGGCTTTTGTTTCTTAACGCCTTTCGGCCCGTTTGGGTAACTCGCTTGACCAAAAATTACATAAAGAAAACTTGTGTTTTTTATGTTTTTTCAGTTCTATCCATTGTATTTGTTGTACTACTAAACTTCTAAAAAGGTAAGTATTATAATAAAAAATAAGAAAATAGAATAAATAAAATTTATAATTTTTTTAAATAGAAAAAATAAATATTAAAATGTTACAAAAGAAAAATCTAACCATTATATAAAAAGAGAGGAGTTTTTTTTTTTCATATATTAGATTGAAAGTGCTTGTTGTGATACTTGTAAATTTGAAAAAATATTCTATATTCTCTTTGATAGTTGTGATTTTTCTAATATTTTAAAAATAAAAGAATATTAATATTTTTTTCAACACTAAACCCTCTCAATTACAAGAAGTAAATAGACTTTATTTAAATAGAATTACTAATATTTCCTAATATAGAAAATTAATGGAAGTATGCTTTGTCATAATCCGAAATTACATAAGTTCTCAATAATTTTAATTTTTTTAAAGATTAATTTTATATGAACTAAAGCTTTTAAAACTTAAATTATATATTAACTCAAAATACAATCATTGTGTCCACTTCAAATGTGTGTTTAGATTCAATTAATTACTTTTAGAATTTATTTTAATAATTAATTATAGATATAATTGATTATGTGAAATAAATTTTATGTTTAGATATGTTAAATGATATTATTTTTTTTGTTTAGATTGTCTAAAATAATTAGTTTTTATTATAAAATTATAAAATGTGTATTATATCATTTGTATTCATTGATTTTATAATCAAATAAATAAATAAATAAATAGAAAGTAGAAAAATAAAAACTAACTAAAAATGTTATTTTAGCCTTTAATCATCAAATTTGTATATCATTAAAAAGGGATTTATTTGTTAAGATTATACCATTAGATTATAATCTAAATTACCAAAAACAAAGTTGAATAGTAAAATCAGTAACTTTTTCTATAAACTACATTATAATCTTTAAAATTAATCTCATCCAAATACGCTCTTAAAAGAAACGTGATTTAGCCATTTATGGAACACCAACTTGTAACGTTTAGTGACGAGCGCCACCACTAGTGAAAACATTCTTGCAAACAGAAAACACGTGTGAGATGTGATAGCTTTCTAGTTTCCAGTTCTATACAATGTATTTTATCAGGATATTAATAAATTGGAACATGATAAATGATGTTTAAACTGAACATGTATCTCTCTTGATAGATATTAAATGTCATACTCATCAATTTAAGCCTTTATGTTGTATCACATAAGCCAATGGACGCACGAAAAATAGCATACATTCACTAAAGTTTGTCATAAACTTTTGAATTAGACCCCTTGTGCTTAAATCATTAACTTTTTGTCATTAAGCCTTTATGTTGTATCATCATTCACCAAGCAAATTTTGTTCATGTTCATTAGCCAATGGACGCACAAAAAATAACATACATTCACTAAAATTCACAACTATATACGTACACAAATAAAGTAGCAGGAAGTTGAATATCTAAATTATTAGATCAAAATAAAATCTGAATGACCCTGTTAAATTTCTTCCTTGTATACACACAGACATGAAATACTCAGAATCTATCTACAGCCAAGCCTTTCAGTGAGGCTTTTGTAGAATGAGGACACGATGATGTCCAACACGAGTCTCATTAATGCGGCCAAGGTGACGAAGAACCTGCAGACACATGAAATTCCTTCAGGATAGCAATAAACAAAGACAAAAGTTTACAAAGACATTGCACACACGAACATGTTTGATTTACTTTTTAAAAACTAAAAACTGTTTTCAAAAAGTAAATCAAACATACTGTAAATATTCCATGAGGTACTTCTCGTCAGTTATCTCTCACCCGGTGTATAATTTGATTTTATCCGAAAATATTGGGAAACATTATGATTTTAACATGTCTGCTTCACCCGCTGTCTACTGCAACCATATTAATCATTCATGTATTGCCTCAATGACGTCAATGTTGACCCAGCATTGAAGGATAAACCATTTCACATCTCATGTTTCAGGAAAAGAGTAGAATTTACTAGTGACCATACACGCAGGGAAGAAACTCGATATGTCTCCAGATCCTTGGCAAAATCCAGAAGGGAAAAACTAAAACTACAACCATTATGAGAAGTGTATTGTTTAGCTCAAACCTTTGGAGATGTCAGGAATTATATTTTCAAGAGATGATTTTGAAGATAAATGTGGGGAAGAATCAGGAATTTCTGAAAAGCAAAGCACGTTAATCATAATGATTTGCTTAAAAGCAATTAAGGAAGGAGGGCATCCACAAACGATGGGTTGAATGATATACATAGTTGACAATAAACAGGTGATGTACTGATAATAGGATACATGCACAGCATGGTGCATGAGAGGGCACCTCGGATCTTTTGATAGGTTGAAATTGAACACATAAGAATGGCTATTCCCGTGGTCCTGAGAGTTGTTCTTTTGAGTAACAAAAGTCGAGAACAAAGTATGAGCTGTAGGATTCGTAGGCTAGTGTTTCAGTGAAATCATGCACATACAACCGGCATGATATCGTCCACAAGTGAAGCCATAACTATACTATAGTGACCTTGATGAAGTCATGAAAACCTCAAAAGAATGTCTCTGATATCATGAGGGAAGATGTAGAACAAAATATACCACGTAATCACTAAATAGTACCAAGAATAAATGAGAATCAAAAGCTACAAAAAAACTTTTGAAATACAAAAGCTTCTTTGCAAATAATATGAGACTTGAGCTCTACATTGAATGTATAGAATTCTAGTGTGAGGTATGAGGCCTTGGGTTTTCTAACTACAACAGGTAGCTTTTATGATGTGATTATCCTAAGGTTCTTATCAATTAATATCATAGCCTTTTACTGTGTCTCTCATCCACAAACAATTAACACAGGTGATGATGTCAATATTGTAGTTTTTGCTCGGGACTAATCAAGGGACTATTACAGTTACATGGATGCTAAGATTGAAAAGTGCTATGAGATGTTAGAATCCAATTGCAAAATATAGAAGTTGAATTTCTATTGAAAGTATGGGATTTATAAAATCTTAGACTCTTCAACTACAACGGCTAACTTCTATGATGTGATTTGTACAGTGAAATATGGTATTCTAGTGTAAGGTTTATAGCACCTTGAGCTCTCCAACTACAACAAATAGTTGCTGTGATGTTGTAATCACTCAATGATTTTACTTCAACTATCCACATTATGTAAAGGGGTAAAAGACCAAAATGTGCTTCGTTGTCTAGTATATAACAATAGCCAAGTTTTATCCTATTAGGTGAAGTCAACTACACAGATCATACAATGTTATTAAGTTTGATTAAAAACTAAATTTTCATAAATATTCTTTATCAATAGGTATTAAATGTTTCAACAAATTTTAAGTTGGTTACCAAAGGTCTAACACAAACTTCTTCCTTTACCCGGACTTAGGACTAGTTATGAGACCATAGGCTTGGTCATCTAGTATAATTACATCAATTTAGAACTTCAGATATTCTTGACAATCCAGTTTAAAGTTTCTAATTTCACAAGTAATTAAATAATAACAGAGCAAGTTCAACTTCACCAAAATAACGTGTTTCGGTGTTTGTACAAATAAGAATACTCACCGTCAGTATTGCTTTTCCAGTGTTGTCAAGTTTCAGTGATGGTCCTTTAATGTCAGCTTCAAGAAAAAAGTGTTTTCCCTTAATCCCTTCCATGGTTGCAATATCTCTTATTTCCTGCAATATTTAGACAGCTGAGAACCTTTTCTTTTGGCATTAACGGATAGACAAGTACAAATAAAAAGAATGAACAGAGGGACAACAAATCATTGAGAAAGTAGTTGCTGAAATGAAAATAAAGGTTCCACTTACCAGTGCTTTTTCCCAAAGATTTTCTGCCAACTTCATGAGCAAGAAAAAATAATTGTCAAGACGAAGGCAAAATGTAACGAAACCTACTTTACAATTAAAAACAAATTTGTTCATTAACCTTCTTTTTGGGGGCAACAATAAGTTGAGCATTTGCTTCAGCGTAGGACGCCATATCATTGATTGCTGCATTCACCTTCTCAAGTGTAAGCCTACCTCTCATGTATCTGTAACATCAGGCCTTGTGTTAGGCAATGAAGTAGGCATAAATCATGGATAGAGAAGAATATCATAACAAAAAAAATCTAAAATGATAGGAAATATATATGTGTTGCAAATTTCTACATCAGGATTCCACCCATTAGCTAAGTCAACATTTCTTGAGACATTTCAAATGACACTCCTGACAACACTTTTAGATTGCTCCATCACATAAATTAAGAGCCAAATGCACTGGAAAAAGGAAGGACCCAATGCTACAAGAGAATAACGATGAAAAAGCTTGCTAAGAGCAATTCACATGTTTCATCAACAATCCATCTTGGCATCATCATCAGATGTGTTTTACTAAGCATTTAAATATGACCTAGCAGAATTTAGATTCAAAAATTTACAAAGAAATATCTAATCAATGAATTGAAAGTGTACATAATTACTTACGATGACAAGGAATCTAGTTCACTTCCAGTAACATACCACATTGGTGGAGAACCACGGCCCTTTTTCTCCTAAAAGGAAAACAAAAAGAAACGTCAGAACTTGACAATATATTTAGCAAGTAGCAATGATAAGAAAATGACGCAGCTTACACCTGTAACAGATTCTCAACTGGGAAACAGATTAAAAAGAAAAGATAGAAACATGGAACGCTAGGCAATAGAAGAGTTACAAATCTTTAACCACTTATGATGTTTTAAATACGGCTCCGAAGGGTATAGATGCTAGAGAAAGAATAGGTAAGCCCAATCCAGTTATTTAACAAGAAAGTATTATTTCGAGAAAAATAATAGTGATATGATACATAGTATTAATAAATACACAAGGTGTTCTTGGAACTAGAGAGACAGAGACAATGTCAGGTGTGAAACAAAATGAGATTTGCATTTTGCACTAAAACAGACCTCACTTTACCTTAGGTGCTGCTGCAGGCTCCTCATCAAGCTTCAAAGCCTCAAATGCTCCAGTGTCTTGTGCAGAAAATTCAGGAAACAAACTGAGGAACACTAACAGCAATTAGGTATCAGCTCAAGCAGAGATGATATCTCTCAAATCTCATTAAATCAAAGCACATAACACATTAAGGGAAAAATATGTACAATTACCATCTACTAGTTTCCAAATTTGACACTGTCACTCTATCAGCCATTTGGAAGGGAAGACGAAGAGACATATTCTGCAGTTTCTTTTGCTGCCGCAGTGATGCATCAATCAGTTTCTACAACACAACAACAACAACAACAACAACAACAAAAGCCTTATCTTAATCAGTTTCTTCAGTAAGGCCAAAAAACAAACGCAACAGGCATCAATTGTTATACAGGGTTAAACACCAAAACCTATACAAAAAATTGCTTACTGTTCTTTCCCTAGCTACATGATTTAATTTTACAAATGGCTGACATCTATCATTGCGTGAAGAGTAATAATCATAAATTTATTTCTTTTATCAAAATTTCCCCATACCAATCTCAAAGCATACCACATCATGAGACTTGGTCCATTGAAATAACTGCATAAGTACAGGGTTACCGGAAGATGTAATTCCGAAGAAGCAGCACAAACGATAAATAAATTAGAAATTCAAATGCCCAAGAAGCAGTGATTGAAAAGAGAGAGAGTACCTTGGTTTTGGGAATGGCTTGTGCCTCTTCTCGCAAGCGATCCTTGATAGCTTGCACCTGAAGCTCCATTGCACTCACCGCAGCCTCCACCGCCGACAGATCCGCCATGCTGCTGGCCGGGTACACTGCAATTGCAAATTGGCCTCTCAATTCTCCAATCAATACAAATACAAAACAATTAATTGAACTCACTCATTCACTCACTGTTTCTTGCAATCACCAGCTCCTGAAGCTGAGCTATGCGGCCATTGAAGGAACACATCAACGAATCCAACGATGCCCCAGCTTTCATCCCATTCATCTCTATCTCTCAAATGCAACTGCGCCTTCGTGGAACTTCAAATTTAAAATTTTTCTATTTGAAATGCCGCGCCAATGTTTCAAATCCTATATAATATGTATTGAATTTAATTTGGGATAAAGTTTATTCTCATTATTTTATTTTAACAAAAAATATATTTTAAATTTTAAATATGTTTAAATTATATAAATTTTAATATTTATAAATATAATATAAGTAATTTAAAGGTTAAATTGATTAATTTTAATGTTATGCTATACTATTATTAAGATTTTACGTCTTATTATTCGGCCAACTTGACGATGATAATGTATACATGGGGGAAAATAGTAATGATTGGCAATCAGGCTCGTCTAAAAGCCCATTCAATTTAGCATTGGGGTTAAATGGGCCTGCTCTAAAAGAAAATAATCGTCTAACTCTTTAAGAATAGTTCGCATGCTCGAATTAAAAAGAAAAAGTTTGTTTGAAAAATTTTATATGATTTAAAATATAAATAAATTTTTAAAAAATCTGATTAAAAATGACTATTTTTTATACTTTTTAATTTTTACACTACACCTATGTATTTTATAGTATAAAAGAAGGATAGAAAAACTCAATAAATAAATTTTTAAACGATTGCATTTTTAGGAGGATTCTTAAACCAGAGTGTTTTTAGAAATTATATTTTTTCATCATGTTAAATATTTTTATTTATAATAGATGTTTATTTAATTAATTAAATATTATTTTTATTCGTAAACTCTCAATATTTGGTTGAGAACATTGCAAGTTCATTTGTAAGATGCAAATACAAATTAATTGCGGTGGAGCAATTAACAAAACCACAAAAAGCAAATCAAAGAGTAATCATACGATAAATACTATGATTAAATGGGTGAAAGAACTTTGGATTACATTTCAAATCGATCCACTCTTTCCAAAAGAAAGCTCATAAAACTGACTTATAAAGGAATTTGAAAGCGTAGTTATGTTTGAATTTAATTTATTTTGTATTAAAAATGATTAATTAAAATTTGTTAAGAAAATATTGAAAAAAGAAATTAATCTATCAAAATTAAGTAAATTGAAACTGGCACAAGTCTAGTACTACCCTCAAATAGAAAATTCAGATACCAATGACATTCAGTAAGAAATTTGCAATCCCCAAAAACAGTGGTAGCTTTCATGATATTTTTATTTTATTCTGGTGTGGCAACATGAGAGTGAAAAAAAAAAGTTCCTATCAACTTGTTTCGACGACCTAGGATAATAAGATGATGAGTTTAGTTTTATTTCATCATCGAAAAATGAAAGAATATTTTTATTTTTAAATTTAACTCAGACATAACTCACTCCTTTTTAGGAGAAAATGTCCAGATTGTTATGCCTGTTGTACGAGTCAAACTTATTCGACAAGAAATTTTGTTATCTAGAGACTGTTATAGTTACTGCTGTCATTCTATTTTTAAATCTAACGTTTCTAATTTTCTAATAATACATTATTAATAAGGAAGGGTTACATGCTTATGTTTTGTTGGAACAAGTAAGTAATAGATACTAAGACATTAAATTTAAAAAAATTAAAAATTAAAAAAAAAGAATTAAGTGACTAAAATTAAAATTTCACAAATTTAAACCAAACTTTTAATTATTATTTTTTGATGGAACATACACATAATATGTATTTCACTAAGCATTGTTTATCAACTTAAATATATATTCTAACAAGTAATTAATTAACTTGTTTCAATTTTTAATGATGTGTAATTAACTAATAATAATAAAATTTTAATTAGAAGAAGAAATATTTATTATACTTTTATAATTTTAATATAATAATATTTTTTTTATAAAAATTTTCTATTTATAAATGTTTAAACTCAGTTTTAAGTACTGAAGTAAGATAAAATTATCAAACTTTCTAGGATATTTAGAAAAATAACTTCACTCACCAAATATTTACAATATGAATAACGTTTTTATTAGATACTTTCTAACTAATAGCGATGAGGTATGTGTTTACGTTCTATGAGAATAAATAGAGATGAAAAAAAATTAAAAGGTAAAAAAAAAAAAAAAAACTCTTTGAACTGATAGAATTTAAAAACATATAATTATAAAAGTTTATAACTATAAAGTTAATAACAATTACATTTTTTTTTATCCTTTTTCTTTTCTAAAAAATCAATTCAAAAACAAAATTTTATAGTTAATAAAAGTTATGCATATAAAGTTATGGCTCGCACCCCTTGTTTTGCTAGCAGTTTACTGTATTTTCTTCCGTATGAATATTAAATATAATACACTTAACTCAACACCTATATGCTATTTGTAGTCTTCCTTTTGTATTGGATTAGAGGCACACTCTACAATATCCCAATAAGCATTTGTATTTGTTCACTAATTAACACTTTATCTATACTTATTGTAGGAGATCATAGTCATGGATTTTACTTCATCAAGATACTAGAATTTGCAAAAGTTATGTTACACTGACACACCATGCAAGTTACTTCTTATAACATGGCTACACATCATTTACGCTCTGCATTATATTATGTAATATTTTTTTATTGATACTTTATTTATATAAACACTAATTTGAGTATTAAAGTGTCTTAACAACTACTTTATTCCTTTAAACTTTATTAAACCTGTTGCCAATTTTGATTCACACAAGTACACCAAATTAATATAATTAGAGAATGATTAAAAGAGCTTGAGTAGGTTGTATAATGCTATGCCATGTCACATATCACAACTTCACCAAACAACATGGTTGAAGAAAAGGATTCATATCTAGAACCTTGAATATGAACCCTTACACTACAACATAACACTCATCTCGTCTAACTACCACACCTATTCTCATTTAAGTATTCCTTTAAATTTAGATAACTTTAAAAGTTGAGATTTTGCGTATTTTATTTTATTGTTAAAAATGGAATTTAATAAACTTTTTAATTCAATTAAAAAAATCGTGTTTTCTCTCTCATAACATATAAAATAGCTTATCAACGATAACTAATTATGATTTAGTTAAGTCCAAGAAGAATTGAGGCTACGAAACTTCATATCGGGTAATGATAAAGGAAAATGTTAGAACTATAAAGATGCAATAGTAAGAACATATGTGAAAAAGATATTTCAATGCTCAAGTCAATCTAAATTTTAATAGAAAAATATTATATGAAAAAGGTGTTTGACCCATGACACAGGATATGCTTTTTATATGAAACTCAAATGCAAGTGAATTATAATTAATCAAAATATGGGGCACTCCAAAGAAGTAAAGTGTAGCGTGATATAAGTATGAAATCATTGAATATTTCTAAAGCTACTTTGGTGTGAAAAGTGTAATATAGAAACTAATAATTCCTGCTTCAAGTATGTAGTGTTGAATGTTACAAGTAGAGATAATTGATCATTCGGTGGCTCTTAGATGAAACATCTAACCTAGTTTAAGTATTTTGAAGCCTAATGTTGGTCATTTTTAACTTGTATCTTTTTGAACAGCCCAAAATAAATCCTAGCAATAAACTTTTGTAAACATACTCAGACATATTTTATATAATTGATTAATCTTTAAAAATATCAAAGAGATTTTTAAAAAGTTATTAATTTTCAGTATTTTAACTTTTTAAAAATTAACCAATAAAAAACTATTAATTAATGATGTATTTAAAAGAATATATTAGTACCACCTTTCTTCTTCCTTTGGGTCGGATATCAAGAATTATGTTGTTTGGCACATATCCCGTGTTCATATTTTGAGGCAGAAAAATAAACAGCACTTAATTAAGGAGGATTCAAAAGGGGATTAAACAAATGTATGAATGGAAGTCAGCTATGAACTTGTACAATTACCAGAGAGACAGACACCTCAAAAAAGTTGTCTGGTGGTAACTACATAGTTTAGAGAGAAAATTCTATGATTTCAATGACATTGTTGGGAATGCTGCGTTCTAATTGTTGTCACCTTCTAAAGACTTGAATGTGTGTGAGAATGCATGTGCTAGTTCCAATAAACAGGTGCAATATCCCTTTTTTCAATCCCAATTTGTCTTTATTGGGATTTTATGTTTCATCTGAGTTGAATTCATTCTATTTTTTACTTCCATAGGAGACATACTTGAAAGTGTTGCATCTCGTGTCCCTTGTTAGGTGCGGAACACCCTGGCAATGGCTAGTTCCTGCCACAAATTTAAGCTACATTAAAGCATGAAACAATAATAACCAAAATAATAAAAACCTTTCCAACTATAATAAAATAATATTTTCATTTTGAGTACACAAACCGGACTTTAGTCTATTTTAAAATAGAGAGATTAGTGAAATTGGTTTACTTTCTCTGACCAATTTTTTTCTACATACATGTAAAATTATACTTCTATTCATCAATGACATAGATAATTTAATGAGTTTAAGTTATGTTTTCAAATTACTTTACCTTGCTTAAATGTGACCTTCATTTATCATTTCTCTCACGTTTATAAATCTGTATTCTAAAAGTAAGCAAATATTATGATTTTATTTGTCATTATATATATAGGCAGCGACATGTAGTTTTAAAGTTTGGTTTCCATGTAATTTTAATTTCAATACAATACTTTATAATCATTTAATGAACTTAAATATATTAACTTTTACAGAGGATGCACAGTTTGTTTCTTTTATAATTTAAAGTTTTTTTTTTTTTTTGGGTGCATAAGATTTTGTTTCTTTTGTCAAAACGTCATCAATCACAAAGCACTTTTCCAAAGCATTTGGTTGGGGGGGCCTTGATTTCTTGATTCCGATGTTATTGTCATTCTCTTGAAGAGTTACATTTTTATTTTATAATAAAAAAATTATGGCTACTCTTTCGTTTTGGTTTTTCATTTTGATATCTATCTTTTTTTCCAAATTATTAATTGGTACACAACTATTATTAATTTGCGGGTGAAACTATTGTGAATTTAATATTTTTAGTTGCTCGGTTAATCTCAAATTCCATTAGTTTTATTATGTCTTTACTTGCGATGAAACAATTGGAAAGTTG